TATTCGTTTTTCTTAAGCCTTATGCAGGGATAGCTCTATGTCCATTGAGATGAAATTTGGTGGTTCAATTTTGTTCTGGTTGGATTTGGAGATATGGTAAGAGATGTTCACCCATAGAGAAGGATGTCCAGCAGGAGGCTGCATAAATGGTAATTTCACTGATGACCAAGGCTGGTTACTGAAAGCTCTAGAATGCTATGGTGAGAAAATGTTGTACCTCTAAGTGTCCTTAGGAAATTCTACCCTGATAGTTGACCAGCCTAAGTATAATTCCTGGAAATCTGTGACTTAATATTTTGCTTTGCAAATTTCAACAATCACTTGAGACTGAATTCAAACCCTACACCCTTTATAAATTCCTCCTGGGTAATTCCAAACAAAATCAATCTTTCTCTTATAGTAGATATGATCATCAGCATGTTAAATGTGGCAAAAAAAAAAAAAAAGGCTGGGAAGAAAATGAACACTTATTAAAACACTCCTTTTTAAAAACAATTTAAACACCTTACAGATATTATTTCATTTAAATTAGGCCATGGTCTCATCTCAACAGTTCTCACCCATTGTGATTCTTTTTTCCTTTATATGCTGTATTTTACTTGAATAATAACCCTCTCATCTTTTATTCATATACATTCATACCTTATTCCTAGAGTATAATGACCAGTGAATAGGAAGGTCAAGTTTTCTCATTTAGAACTTAGTGGAGTATGACGCTTGTTGACTGATATACTAGTGTCAGGGCAGCAATACCTCCAGACTGTGCCTGTTTACCTGGAGGTCTTTGTACATGGTACTCTTCCCCAGTTGAGTCAGGATTTGCATTAGCCCTGGGTGGGATGCAGTTGGATTTATAAGTGAACTGAAAAACTACCCAGACAAGGCTGAGATTGTCATATATCTATTGACCTATCATCCTCTAGTAACCAGTGAGCTCTTTGTAAGCAGGACCTTGGAGATTCTGGTCTTGCCCTTAACATAGGGCTTTGTAAAAAGAGTATCTAGAATGCTATTTCTTTGGTAACAGAACTTGGAGACTGAGGCAGAAGGGGCCTTGTCCAGCCTGTATTCTTAATTTCTTAAGAAATTCTTACTCTTAACAGTAGAATAAATGGCTTTCTTACAGGACAGAGGAGAAGACATAAAATATTTAGGAGAAGGTGGATAGAAAATGAACCTTCTGGACAGTTGTAACTCATCTGCTCCTCACACATTACAAATAAACCTGGGCAACTGGAGAGGTTAAATGATTGCCCAAGGTTACATAGATTGCTTGCTGGGAGTCTGGTGTAGCTCACCAGTCTCTCATTCCCAGTTCAACATTATTTTTTTTTTTTCATTATACTCTGCCCAAAACAATACCAAGTAATGATTTCTTTTAAAGGAAAGAAATCTGTATAGGAATTTGCAGATGTGTCTAAATAAATAGATTTTACATTTCTGAAATTAGCCTAAATATATCTTTCTTTACCAAAGCTCTCCTACTTCCTGCTGTCTCCTAACACCTGGTAAACTTTATGTCTGTGTATTTAGTTATGAATACACATGTCTGAGCCTTTATATTTCAGATCAAAGTTTACGCTTACACATAATGCTGAATTGATTTAGAACATTTGCCTTTGTTGAAACAAAAGCAACTCATTTCATTCCCATCAATAACAAGTAATTCTATGTACAGTGAGCCGAGCTCACCCAGGCTAATGAATATTCAACCAGTAGTAAGAGAAGGGTGCCCCTGGAATGATTACCAGGGGCCCTTTCTGATTTAGCAACACCCAAGAGTCGCGCAGGGACAAAGCAGCTTCCTTCACTCAGCTCGGTAGTGGGGACCATGGCTCCGCCCACCCTGACTCAGGAGCCCGCCTGTCTGATTCCGGGGGCTCTGGCAAAAAGCCTGAGCCCATTGATTACAGATCGCTGTTAATAAAGAGCATTTGTAATGCAGCCCCGGAGAGGCGGTCTCCGCACACCGGTTCATGATGGCCCTTCAGGCTCCACAATTAAGTCGTCCAGCAGGCATGCCCCCTGTTGCAGCTGCTCTGTCAATCTCATTTTGGAGCACAAATGATCTTAGACCCGGTGTTTGACATGGGGTTTTAACACCAAAGAAGGCAATTCTGCAACTTCAAATGAGCCTAATTGGCTGTGCGCTCCGGCGTTCACTCAAGCTGCTTCAGTCCATCAGAACAAGATTTCCAGCTAATTGAACTGCTCAGAAGGAAAAGTACCAGAAAAAAAAATCATGAAAATCATGGTGGGCGTGTGTGTGTGTGTGTGTGTGTGTGTGTGTGTGTGTGTGTGTGTGCATGCATGCACGAGCACGCGCATGTATATATGGCATATATATCATGGAAAATATATGGCACATATGTATGTGTGTGTATGTATGTATGTATGTGTATATATATTTTTTTCCATAATAACAAACTTAAAAATACATTTCTTCTTTATCAGCCGCCTGCCAACATAAGAAAGGTAGTTATGGCTGCAGATGCTCTGCAGTTAAAGTCTACAATTGAGTTGTGACTCTGGAGTGGAAATGTACATGTGTTGTTAATAAAAGATATTTCAAAAACTTCGTCTGTAGAGTGTTTTCCTGTATTACTCTCAAGACTGAAGGAAATAAAAGCATACGAATCTTGGCTGGTGTGGGAGACTAAAGTATCTAATAGAAAAGCATCAAATAGAGTTTGCACATTCCTGTTCATCTCTCATGTTTCAGTTGTTTTTGTGAAAAGGAGATCGCATGAGAAAGATGTCTATATCTGTCCCATATTTTTGTCAGATCCATTTCTATATAGCTCTTATATCTGTTCTGCACAGCTGATACATCCATATCTGTACACCCGAGTATACCCATATTCAGGGATACACACATTTCGGTGTAGGTATTCTTTCAGAATAAATAATCTATGAACAAAACCAAATTGTGCAGCAATTTTCGTATTACAGTAAATCATCGTTTGTTTGGCTCTTCATGAAACATTGATGTAGTAGTGTCTTAGGAAGTTGGAAAGGAACTGATCTGTGAATTTTTCTTTTTAATTGTATTATTTTTAATTTAAAATTTTTCTTTTCATTTTTCAGTAACCCTGCCCTCACCTTCTCCTCCCCCTCCCCCACTCCACCTTTCCTATCACTGTCCACTCCTCAGATGGGGTAAAGCCTTCCTTGAGGAGTCAACAAAGTCTGGCATACCAAGTTGAGAAAGGACCAAGACCCTCCCTGATGCATCAACATTGAGTATGTATCTCATCATTGGAAATAGGCTCCAAAAACCTTGTTCATACACCCAGGATATTTCCTGGCCCTACTTCCTGGACCCCCCACAACAGTCTAGTCACCTACATTCAGAGGGCCTAAGTCAGTCCCATGCAGGTTCCCCAGCTGTCAGTCCATAGTCCAAGAGCTCCCACTAGCTCAGGTCATCTGTCATTGTTTTCCCCATCATGTTATTGACCCCCTTTGATTAAATGACCTCTCCTCTCTCTTTTTAGTCGAAGTCCAGGAGCCCAGTGCTTGACTGTGGTCACTACATCTGCTTCCATCAGTTACTGGATGTATATTGTATGATGACAATTAGGGTAGTCATTAATCTGACTAAAGGGGAAGGCCCTTTCAGGCACCCTCTCCAGTATTGCTAGGAGTCTTAGCTTGGGTCTTCCTTGTGGGTTTCTGGGAATTTCTCTAGCACCAGGCTTCTTTGTAACCTCATAATGGCTCCCTGTAACAAGATGTCTCTTTCATTGCTCTCTCCCTCTGTCCTTCCCCCAACTTGGCTTTCTCCATTCCTCATTTTCTGAAATTTTTCTAAAGTGAAGCACTACTTAAATATATTACTAAGTAATTTTTGGGGGTGTTACAATCACCTCACATTTGTCTAATTTACATAAGTCGGGTTTTACATGACATATTGTTAAAAACTAATTGGAGCAGTTATGACAATACACACATGTAGTACATGTCTATTGCTCAATGTTGTTCTTGCTGGTAGTAGGTTTTAATTTGTGTATAACCTTTCCTTTCCCTGGAATGTATTTGACATTTATTATCATTGTATATAGTTTTGGCATTAGGCTTAAAACCTTCTCTAAACTGAAAGGGGAATTGTAGTAGTATCTTGCCTGTGAACCTGTAACAGTGGTCACACCCCTTGGGCATGGCTTCAGGTGTGGAGGAATCAGAAAGAGAAAAGCATGAGGCATGGTCTCTCTTGGGTAGAGGATCAGACTGGAAGGATAGAGACATGCTGTGATGGTTCTTTATTGTTCTGTCTAAGTTGTTCCCCAATAAAACACCCATTCATCTAGTGGGTGTCTAGTGAAAGCATTACACCCATGCCTTCACACACATTAAAAACATTTATGATTGGCTCAGTTATATGTGGCTTGCTTAGGATATCAAAAGAGATGATACAGAAAGCATCTCTCTATGCACCTTATTATGTGTAGGCATTGGTTGAAATAATCTCAGCATCAGATTTTTCTACCTATGAGCACATTTTCTGCATTTCATGGTGCTCAAACATAATTTTCGGAGAGTAGCTAGCTGTCTTCAGGCATGTTAAATCATTAGAATTGTTAAATCAAGGCCTGAAAACTTGTGACTATGGGGGCAAACAATTCAGATTTCCTAGCCTTCAATTTTCTCACCTTAAAAACAGACAACAACCACCACTCCATCAGTGGTTTACTTGAAGATGTGGAGTGACAAAATGAGTCGACCTTTACATTTAATATCTTTACTGGGGTACCCAAATGATTTCACCCTTGCATTGAGGTACTATTTTTTTTTTTTTAAACTTTTTTCCTTTTTTAATTTAAATAACGGAAGAGACATTCTGGGCACAGCAGAAGGAAACTGGGTTTGGGATATGAGAGAGGTGGCAGCAGTGTGCCAGATCGGGCATAAAGGCAAGTAATGATTGAATCACAGTGGGCTCCCCACACCTCCAAGTCAGCCTTAGAGTATCGGCTGTGGAATTAAGAGCCCTATAGAAGTCAGTAAGTGATGTCTCCCTGAATTCCTAAGACTTCAGGGATAGGGGCTATCTTAGTTCCCACGGGTGGCAGGGTCAGGGCATGCCAGTAGGGGTCATGGGGCCCTGAAGGCATTTTCAGCCAATGCAGCATTGGCGGCAGCAGTTCAAATTGCTGGGCTTTCTGAAAGCTGGCACCTGTTCGGCGGTAAGAGTGGACCTGCTTCAGGATCACAATTCCCAGCACAGCGACACCAGTGAAGAGCAGGGCAATCAATAGCATGAGCACGGCCACAGTTGTGTTGGTGTTCACCGTCACAATTGCAGAGACCCAGCCACTGAAGCCCCACCCTGGGATGCCAATGGCCTGGAGGACAAAGAACACATCCTGGACGAAGAAAATGAAGAAAAAAAAAAAAAAAAAAAAAAAAAAAAAACGAAGAAATTGAATGAATTATCACTCCGGAAAGCCTTATACATGGGGCGATACCAGCAGACAAAGAAGCAGAGGGTGAAAAGGAGGAGCCAAAGTATAGACAGCCCAAAGCCCGAGCCACACAGAACTTGGCCAGGCAGGCGAGGAAGTTCAGGAGAAGAGCCAAAGTGCTGCACATCCAGAGGTAGTACATGGAGGACACTGTCTTCTGAAATTCATGAGGTATCTCTATGGAGATGTCCTGGAAAAAGCAAGGCTGAACTGGGCAAAAAGATGGTAAGGGAGGCCAGTTCTGTCGAGCTGTGCCACCCAGGACAACATGCTGCAGTTCTCGTTCCCCGCTGTCCAACTCCTCTGCCTTCCGGTTGAGCTCCTCCTGCTTCTTGAGCAGCTCAGCAGTGGCTGCAACAGCAGAAGCCTGAGTGCTGTAGGAGCCATAGTTCTTGGGCTCTGTGGGGCTGAGCTTCCTTGAGGACTGTACAGAGGGAGATGCAGGAGGCGGCAACTGGGCTGGGGCAGGGGCTGGAGCTGGGGCAGGAGGCTCATAGGCTGGTGGAGGCTCTCGGTTCTCAAAAGGGTTGTAGACATCAAGCATGGCATACTGCTAGCTGGGTCGGTGCTGGATCATAGCTGGGTCCTGGAAGGGATTGTCAAGCTTGCAGGAGTTGGGGAATGGGTTCCCTCTCTGCTCTGAGCCACGTTTGCAAATGAGCCCAGCTGCCCCTCTTGAGGTACTATTTTTATTCAAAACCTGTAAGGAAATGTAAGACCCTCAGAATGAGGAGTCTTCCAGGTTCAGTCAATACCCCAAGAACTCAATGTCCAGTCCAGTTGCTGCAAAATGCAAGAGGCTTTAATGAACAGGAAATGTTTGGGCAAACGGGCTCCTCCAGCATGCAGGCTAGGGAGAAGCCCCCTCCCCTGGGCCCAGGTGTTTTTAAAGGCAAACCTACAAGCTTAGGGAGGAGGTGGGACCCTCTGTCCATTGAGTACATGACCCTTGGAGGCTGGATGGTCTCGCTATTAGGGTCAGCAGACCTTAGGGCTTCAGGTGTGCTAATTAATCTTTTCTGGGCAAACCAGAGTTACAGCTATCTCTTGACCCTATTTACCACCGGTTGACTCACAGGAAAGGAGGGGCAGTGTGAATTCTTCTTATCTCAGGGCCTTGTGAGAGGAAGCTAGCAAATTCCAAGGAACAGATATTGGTTTCTAGGTTAGTCCATCATTAACATTACTTTTTAGGTCTTTCAGAAAAGAGATCTTCAATTCCTGAAAGTGTGAATACTCTCCATTGTTTTATTTTCCAGATATATCATTGTTCAAGTATCTTTATTCTTTGGAAGGGTCTAGTCTTTAACACAAATTCACCTAGCCTTTGTTAAAGTGTTTGGTATACTCTTTTTTTTTTTTTTAAAGTCTTCTTTCCTACTTTTTTTTTTAATCATTCATTCGTTTTTACTTCATGTACACTCATTTGCCTGCATGCAAATCTGTAGGAATGTGTCAGATCACTTGAAACTGGTGCTGGGAATTGAACTGGGTCTTCTGGAAAAGCAGCCAGGGCTCTTAGTCATTGAACAACCTGGTCCCTGGTGTACTCTTTAACAGATTTTATAGCTATTCCAAGAATAACATTGGCCCCCAACTTTCAACAGCTGCCCTCCAAACCTTAGAGATCAATGTGTCAATCTACACTCTCTTTCTGCACCCTCCAGTCCAAGCAAACACTCTTTTCCCTAGCACTGTAATTTTGCCTGTTTTAGACATTTCACGGTGATAGCTCACATCCTGTGTGCCTTCATCTGCTATGCAATTACTTACAGGTTTATTTTTTCCTGTAGTTCTAAAAATCACAAAGATTGTTCCTCCTATTTTATTTTATTTTTGAGAAAGCTTGCCTTTTCCCTTCTCTAATCTGAGTGGTCACTACTGAATCTGCTCCACAGCTTTCTTTACAAGAATACTTCTGCAATGTGGCTCAAGTTCCATGTTCCTCTTCCTTCAACTCCATGTCACCCTCCTTTGCAGTTGATTTTCCTGTGCTAAGGCTTCTAATTGACCATACTTACCTCATGTCTAATCTCAGAGCTTCATGGGGTCCTAGGAGGGTTGGATCATTTCATTGGTCCTCCATCCCTTCCTCCTTCCCTCCCTCCCTCCATCCCTCCCTCCCTCCCTCCCTTCTTTCCTTCCTTCCTTCCTTCCTTCCTGCTTTCTTCCAAATATATTCACAAATGCCTTCTTCTTAACACTATGTGTCCTTAAGAACCTTTGTCCTCATCTCTTTACTATAACTGTGAAAGGCCTTTGAAGATAGAAAGTAAATGAATAGAATGCATGGTTGAGAGGAGGCCCAGGTTTTGTTTCCAAGGATTTGATGTTCTTTCCATCACTCACAAATCATCTCCTATCCTTTGGACTGGAATTTTAAATTTCCTTTAAGAAAAAAAAATGTTAAAGTTTATTTTACCTGCTTATAATTTCAAATACCAATTATTACAAAAGTTATGAATGCAAAAATTAACCTTCAAATGTCACATTAATTGACCGACAATTTTGAGAACGTTGGAAAAAAAACCATTAGTGCCGAAGGTCTAGAAGATGAGAAAAAAAGTCAATATCATTTGACATTTTCTGGCTAATAGGTGAGAAGATCTCAGGGAGCACATAGTTCATCTAACTTCTTCTAGTCTAGTAAGCCCCAATGCTGTATACCATTTCCCATGTTGCCTGTTGGGCTTGGCTGTGCCTCCCTGTTCTCAGGAATAGGAATGCTGGCCTACTTGTAAAGGTCTTAGCCAGGAATCTTGAATCCCTTGTAGCAGCAAATTCCAGTTCCCAGTAATCCCCCAGATGTCAACTGCTCTTGCATTTGAAGTTAAAGTTAAAGGTTTTTTAAAGTTTAAAAAGAATTTTTAACCATGTTCCTTTTGTAGGAGTATAGAATCATGTACAATTACTTTCAGTTTCAATACCTTCATGTGCAGAGATGAAGTAAATGATATCTATACTCCAAGTTGTAAAAATGGAATACAGTAGTTTCTCACTGTGTATGCTCAATTTTTTTTCTCGAATCCCTGCATTGACACATAAACTGCATTTGCTATGTTTGTTATGCAATTTCTCAACAGTATGACTTGCTGTGTTAACCAATTCTCTGTATGACATTTTTGTTCTTTCAAGAAAACTTACATTGAGGAATATTTTATCCTAGTATAGTTAGTTTCCATATTCTTAAATAAGTTGTTATTGATGCTTTGTAATTCTTTTATGGTTATATGCATATATACAATACTATACCATATACATTATATGCACATACATAACAGCATATATATATATATGTATATTACATTATATATAGTATCCTTTGCTTTTCAGTGTTTCTTGTTTTATTATGTATGTGTGTGCATGCCTGAATGTGTCAGTGTGCTCATCTGTGTCACCTGTGTGTTCCTGTGCATGTGAAGGCCAGAAGTTGGTATTGGTTGTTTTCCTCTGTTGTTCTCCACATTATTCATGTCTCTCTGAACATGGTCCTTGCCATTTAGGCTAGACTGGCTGGCTTGAAATCTTTTAGGACTACACTCGAAAATGAAAGAAGGAAAGGAAGACAAAGAAGAATTCTGGACTGCTTTTTTTTTTTTTTTTTTTTTAATGATGTAAGCAACCATATGCTTTTAGTAACAAAATCAAACAAAACAGTATGGTTTAAAATAAGATGCAAACATCTGCCTACTGTTCCCACTTACTCCCTGGAGATAATCACTGGAAGTAGTTTGGTATGCCTTCTTTGTAATGCTTCTTTTTGGTAACACAAATACACACATTAAAATACACACTCTCTCAGACATAACCCCATGTATTCCCAAGAGTGGGCATCAACTTTGTCTTTTAATAAATATACATTTTCACTTTGTGTGTTGCTGTTAATAGACAAGCATTTATTCTACTTCACATTTTTTCCTAGTACAGACTATGCTGCAATGAATATTTTATATGTAAGACTTTAAAATAGTCTGCCAGTAAATTCTAAAACCGCTGGACCCATTTCCAATATTCTAAATCCAATCCCACATGTTTCTCTATAACTTTAGAAGCACTCAATGTTTTATTCTTGAATAATTTGTAGAATTAGTTTTCTTTACTTATCACTCATAGATTAGTAGTGAAATTGGGTGTCTCTTACTCTTATTGGTGGTCAGTATATATATTTACCTTGTGTGGCATTTTTTGTCATATATCTTTTACTTGTTTGTAAATTCTTTAATTACATGGTGTCTAAAATATGTTCATTATCAAATCTGTCAATCTTTTCTTCATAAATTCGAGATTGTGATCTTTCCTACATAAAATAGTAAAATACATATGTTCATTTTAGGACAATTATTTATTCATTTAGTGTGTTTATTGGGGGGTGCATGAATGTTAGGGTGGAGGTGTATGTGCATATTCATACATCTATGGAACCCGAAGCAGGTCATTGGATATTACCCTTTCTTTTTTTGTCTGTTTTTGGCCTTACTGTCTTGAGACATTTCAGCTAGCAGACGTGCTCTTGGGATCAACTTATTTCCTCCCGCTTACCAAAGTGTATGTAGAGCTATTTGGTTGCAAAGGGGTCCTGCTTGACTTGTAAGGACTCTTATTCACTTTGCCATCTTTTTATTTGACAATTTTAATTAGATTCCTTTTGTAAATTATTTCAAGTAGGAGTCAAAAGTGATCTGTTCTTATTGAATGACTATAGTTTTAACATAAGTGACTTAAACAAATCAACATAATTTTCACATTTTCACATTTTAAAATGTATCTTTGTAATTTCACATAAACTCACTGGTAGTTCCCAAATACTATATTCATTTTTGTGTGTGCATAACATATGAATCACTATAAGTTTATGGTATGTTTTGATACAGAGTAGAGCAAAGCCAGAACAAAAACTTTGTTTTTTTTTTTTTTTTTTTGAATATTTTTCTCTTTCTTTCTTATTATATTACACTGCCCTTTTCCAATTTGTTGGTGGCGTCCTCAATTTATAGTTGTACTGGTTTCTGTTCACCTTGGATGTTTAAGATTTCAAACTTTACATTCTCACATACTACAGCCATGTTCCTCTTTCTGGCTTGGTCCCATTGGTAAGGTAACTATTACTGAGATCCAAAAGAGTTTAAACTAACTCTCTCTCTCTCTCTCTCTCTCTCTCTCTCTCTCTCTCTCTCACTCACTCACTCTGTTTTTCTCCTTGATTGGACGTGCCAAAGTTTGCAGTTTATACTGAGAAAAATTAAAAAGCTGTGGATTTCATGATAGCATCTTCATTCATTTTTCATTGTTTCAATGATCAGGCTATACTGAAACAATCATTTTGGTCTAGAAAGATAAATTTTATGCTAGCAGAAAATAAGATTTACTGTTGCAATTTATAATTATTTTAATAATTACAATTTAACGATGGTAAACATAAACATTATAATTATGATGGGATTTAACTGTAAATGTTTTCTATACATTGTCATATTCAAATGAGCTTTTAAAATGCAATCTTACTGACAGAATACATTAACGATGTAGGTAAGGGTATTTGCATCTTGAGTAGGCATAACATTGAATAGATAGTAATGAATGATAGAAGGAAATTTTATATTTTCAAATTGAAAATGGAGTTCTGAC